ATAAAAACAGAACTCTCTCTAGGGGTGATGAGATCTGTGACGCATTTAATAATTATTTTCATTCAGTTTTTATACCATCTTGTAGTCACGGTTCTGATCATCTAAGCGGTTATCCACAAAATTCAGTTGTCGACATCAATTCCATAAATATTTATTTTAATAACGTCCTTACAGAATTAAAATCCGTAAATGTCCATAAGGGTGCAGGCTCCGACGGGATACATCCAATACTTTTTCGCATATACATACGCGATACCCATTACAATACTTTTCGCATATCGATTCAGACTGGGACATTTCCTAGTATATGGAAAAAGTCCATTATCACACCCATACCCAAAACCAATAAAAAGGACTTAATAGAAGACTACAGACCTATTTCTAAGCTGTGTGTCTTGGGTAAGATTCTGGAGAAAATAGTCACAGCTCAAATGTCACACTCTCTGCGAAACCTTATTGCCAGTGAACAACATGGGTTCTTCAAGCATCGTAGTGTTGACACAAATATGGTAACTTTCACAGATTTTTTGTCACAAGCCATGGATAACAATCTGCAAGTGGATGTTGTGTACACCGACTTTTCTAAAGCTTTCGATAAAATAAATCATAACTTGCTTATGGAGAAGTTAGCGAGGGCCAGTGTATACGGCAACCTTCTCAGATGGATCCAATCGTACATTAGTAACAGAAGTCAGGCAGTTTTTGTGAAGGGTTATACTTCCCAATTTCTACCAGTTCCATCCGATGTTCCCCAGGGTTCCCACATTGGCCCGTTGCTGTTAGTATACATAAATAATATGGGTGATACACTAAAACATAGCCAATATCTTCAGTATGCTGATGATACAAAGTTATACCGAGTGATAATATTTCCCACCGATTGTCGTAAACTCCAGGAAGACCTTAATTCCCTAAACGCTTACTGTTTTACCAATCCACTATTTCTCAATATAGATAAATGTTCCACAATATCTTACACACGTAAGAAAAATATAATATCATATGACTACAATATAAACGGTAAGTTTCTGCAAAGAATGACTAAAACTAGGGATTTGGGTATCATCATGGATTCTGCATTGTCATTTCATCCCCATATTGACCACGTAGTTGCTTCGGCATTCAGGAATCTTGGCTTTATATTGCGAATAAGCAAACCCTTTAGTAGACCAAGTACGTTAAAAATCTTGTACTTCTCATTTGTTCGATCTTTTTTGGATTTTTGCAGTCCTGTATGGAATCCATGTTACCAAATTCACATTAACAGAATTGAGAAGGTCCAGAAAAAGTTCCTCAAATCCATAAATTACCGCCAAAATAAGTTAGTCGAAACATACCCATCTTCTCTTCATAGACACAATTTGATGTCTCTCTGCAACAGGCGTAAAAAGTTTGATATGATATTTCTCTATAAAATTCTAAATAACCTTGTTGACTCTCCGTCATTACTCAGTAACATTTCCTTTATTTCTCATGTTCGACTTCCAATGTGCTCCTCACGCTTAAAACCACTTTTTGTTCCTCTGCGATACCGTAGAAACTATACGCGCAACTCATTTCTTTACCGTTCCACTAATACTTACAACCAAGATTTCACCCATATAGACATCTTTAATATATCGTTACAGAAATTGAAATGCATTCTTTCGGAAATTCTAACTAGTAATTAATTTAAAATTATATCAAACAACCCTTATTCCATATGCATTAATATTTGTGTGTATGTGTATGTGTATGTGTGTGTGTTATATGTGCATTGAAAAAATGGTATTAGTATCACTTTTCAGAAGTTGTTAAGCACTAAATAGCCTTGCCGGGCTATTACACAATATGTTCCTTTTTTTGCTTTGTTTATTCTTTTTGTCCAATATTGTTAACTTAAGTACATAAGTATTAACATTGCATATTTTTATATATGGTAATGTCCTCCTAATGTTGTTGTACTCTCCAATTTATGAAACAAAATTGTAACGTTTGAATTTGACAAACATGGGAGCTCATATTATATTATTGTTACATTTTATAGGCACTATAGGTCTATTATAACTTCAACAATTTACAATAATTATTTTTCTATGTATATGACTGTTTGTAGCCTTAAATAAATGAAAAAAAAAAAAAAAATTACCTTGGAGGAAGCTGATGGGTCTACGGAACATTACGTTGACATTTCAGCCTCCTCCAGGGTAGTAATTGTCTCCATGGCTATTGCCTTATTGGCCTGGGTCTTGGGGGCCTTTTTTGATTTGGCAATAACAGGAGGTTTACATTTCCCACTTCCCATGATATGGTCCGATTTAAGACCAGCCTTTTTGCATACCGAACACGACGGATCTTTGTCGCATTCGGCAGCCTTATGGTCTGTGTCGCCACACCTATAGCAGACTCCTTTGTAGTCTGCTGTGCTAGGGCAGAGCTTCTTGGTGTGTCCCGTACCCATGCATTTGAAACAACGCATGGGTAAAGGGGCCAGGTGTTGCACAGACGCTGAGGTCCACCCCACCAACAATTTGCCCTTTGACATAATCGTTTCCGCAGCCGCCACTGGGCATTTTACAACGACTGCACCTAGGCCGTTTCTGCCGAGACTGATTTTGCCGACTTTCACTTGTGTCAGGGGGCAACCTCCTATCTTAGAAACTGCCTCCGCCACTTCCTCTCTATCGACCGAATCATCTATGCCCACAATGCGGAGATCTGCAGTCTTTGTGGGTCTAGCGACACTTATGTGTTCCTGGTATAGCTCCCTCATCTTTTCTGCCAGTAAATCTACCTGTTCATTACTAGAGGCTCCGGGAATTTCAAATTTGCGGGCGCCCGTGGCAGTGGGGCGTATTTTGATGCCCGGAATGCCGAGATCTCCCAACTTTATGTCCTTCCTCGCTTGTCTCACTATTTGCGAGTAGGTCATTCCTTTTTCGACAGATTCCTCCGAGAGGGTAATGACAACAGCCGTAGTGCGGGGTTGCGAAAGCTTCGGCTTTTTCATTCTCGCGCTTTTTGGTTTACTGGACTGTTTAGCAGTCTGGTTTGCCCCCTTGTTGTTATTACCCTTTTGCCTAGGAGGGTCAGGAGGAGGAAGAGGGGGAGACGCTGTCATTCGCTTCACGGAGGCATTTGCAGCATCTTTTTTGGCCTTTTTACCCTTCTTCTTCTTTGCCTTCTTACCCTCGACCAGGGTCCTCTTCTCTCGTCTCTTCCTGCAAGAAGACTTACAATGTCCATAACCTTTTGAGCCGATTCTTTGAGACTTTTTTGTACCGTCCCTTTCAAGTTCCTGGACTTCTTAACACATTCCACGATATCTTTAATATGCTTTTCGGCCTGAGCTTCGTGGTCCAGGTGTCCAAGTTCCTTATCAACACCCCTCTTTATAAACTTCGTCTTTCCGTTATCTTCGTCTCCGGATAGGTTACTGACTCTCGAACCATCCGACATGCCGGAACCATCAGAGCCAGCATTAAATCCATCTCCCACATGTTCAGGTCCCGAACTTACAGATGTTTTCTGTTTCCTCTTCTTATTGTTTTTTCTTGGGGCCTTAGGTTTCCCTTTACTATCAAAAGAGAATCCACTGCTTTCTCCCTCTGAGCTTGAGGAACCAAGTCTTCTCTTAGAAGCATACGATTCCAGAACCCTAGTAGTAATGTCCATTGGGGCAGGAGCAGAAGCAGCGAACATATCCTTATTTCCCTCCCCTGTTGGGTCCACAGTCCCAACGGCATGGTCTACGGTAGATTCCACGATGCCACCAGACACAGAAGACGCCTGAACTCGGTGAAAATCACCCTTTCCTAACGTTGACGTTACACATAGTGTATCCTTCAAGTCAATCCTTTGCAGTACAACCATAGGTTCAGGAGTCTTGACTTTGTCGCCAAGTTTGGACGTTTCACTCCCGCTACTACTCTCTCTTTTTGCACGCGTAGCACTCCTAGTCTGCTTTGTTAACGACTCATCCAAATTAACGCTTTGCAAAGACCCACTGTTCAGAGATTCCATAGCAGATTTAAATGACGCAATCGATTCCCTACTTGCATCGAACAGCTGCTAGAGCTGTTCGATTCCGAACTCGCTGCTCCTTAGGTTCGCCCGCTCTGGTGACCTAGCTGGCTCCACTCTCTCTAGTCGAACTTCTGGACCTCGATCTCGAGGTCGGCTCACAATATGTCGACCTGGAGATTGAAGCAGATCTCCCACGTCTTGGCGCGTCCACGCCCGCACCAGGCCCATCTCCTCCGTACGGAGACTCGACTACATCACACCGCGCACTTCCGCCCGCGCCAGGCCCATCCCCTCGGTTCGGGGAATCTCCCTCAGCACTCCGCTCGCTTCCGCCCGAGCTCGGCCCACCGACATCAGAGGGGTTTTTATTTTTGCATTTAAAAATCCATGATGCTCCCACGAGTAAGATCGGTTGCTCGACCACCCAGACAGAGCCGAATATCTGGGCTAGGCTAGGGTTGTGAAGGTGGGGGTCGCCTGTTCCCCACCTCCAGAGGACGCGTCGCGACTGAGAATGGCCCTCAGCCACGAACCCCTCGGCCGCGTCTACCTTGGGCTGACCGATTTTTTATTGAGGTTTACTCCTCTTGAGGTCACCCAACTAAGGGCAGCCCCCGCCCCGGCCCCACAGCAGTGGGGTAACGGGGTCGGCCGATGGTTGCTGATAGAAACAGCACCCGTCGCTCACGCCACCGTGACACGACGGGCCCACCGCCCTCGCTGGCGCGGCCGCTACCCGGGATACCCAGGACGCCCGCCCAGCCCGAACCGCGCTGCCGCTTCCCGACTTACCGTCGGGGCGCCAGCCCGGAGCCCACACCACAAAAGTACCAGGAAAAAATCTCCAACACACCACCACGACGACCCAAAAGGGCCAACAACGGCTACGTCAGGCCGAAACCTCCCTCCCGTGCCCGACTGCCGCTACGTCGGACATTATGTCCGTGGCGCCAGTCAGAGCCCCTACTTTGTGCGGCCTCGTTAGCGCCACCCGGGGGACACGTGCAGGGTAACAAGGAGGTTGCCAGACCTGCGCACGTGCCCAACGTTGTCCCCCAGCCTTCCTTAACCCTCTGGCTTGCCGATGTGGAGCGGGATGGCTGGTAGTGAGGGGAACCAGGGAGTTCAACCTACGTATGTGGGGGAGGGAGCTTTCCATCTCGCACTCTGGCCGCGGGGTCGTCGGTGTCCGACTGCAACACACACTGTTCGGTGTGTGGGGTGATCGGGCCCCCGGCGGGGCCGCGACCAGAGTCGCGACTAAGGAACGGTGTACCGGGGGGGAGGGAAGGTCACCGGGGCTATCGGGGAGTGAGACTCATGTGGGGTTACCCATATGCGTCTCCACGAGACAGTCGTTAGGGCAGGAGGGATACAATAGCGTGCCTCCTGTCCTTGACGAGGGGCAGTCTGGTGGTTTGCGCGCTGCCGGACATTGCACGCCCTTTGTCCTGTCTGGGGGGTGAGACTTAGATGTTCCTGAGCCACCCCCCTAACCGGAGAGGGGACCTGCCCCTTCAGGGCGGGTCTTTATGAGGGCGGTCTAGTGGTGCATGGCTTCGGCCGATCCCACTACCGTCTTCTTTGTGAGGGACATCGGCAGGTTTTAGTGGGTAGGCCCCGGCCTTCAGCCGGGGAGAGCCCCACATCACCCGCGGACCACACGGTGTGGGAAGCGGATATGCAATTTCATGCATTTCCTTCCGTCAAAAAAAAAAAAAAGATAGATAGATAAATAGTTTATTCACACAACAACACACAACTACATCATAACTTGTACAATACAAATAACATTTGAGAACAGAACACGTAATTATATAAGTGATATACCTGTGTGCAGCAGTAAGATAAGGGTCAAGGCTCGGTGCACGTAAATCACCCAAGAATGGGTGAAGCACCGATTTTCAGCCGTCACCCAGTACAGAGTGAGCGGGGCAGATTATTGTCAATGTCATATTAATAAGAAGAATTCAAAAATGTCCAAAATAAAAGATAGAAATATTATTAATGTAATGTAAGATAAATAATGAAAAATTAGATAACACAGAGGTCAAATTAGTAACAAATTAATATTAAATAGATTTAAATATATACATGAGATTATAATACGATGAAATAAATTTAGAATGTCAAATTGTGTCAATGTCAAAATATAAATTAAAATTAAGATTATAATGTTAGCTTTCAGGAAAAATCAATATTTCAGTCACCTCACTAAACATATGTTCTGAAGATCGAGTAAATAGGTTTTTAATTTTTTTTTGAAAGTATTTATTGAAATGAGGTATCTCAACGGGGGTGGCAGATCATTCCAGCACTTGGTTGCCTGAAATCGAAAACTACCTCTGAAAGCCACAGTGCGATGATGATAATACGCAAGTACGGGTCGAACAGATCTAATACCGTGCTGCGATGTGGAAAATAATAATTTGTCGTACAGGTATTTGGGTCGGCGATATTTGATGACTTTATACACAAGACATGCCAGGTGTAATTGCCTACGGGATTCCATACGAAGAATGGCAGCCTTGTCTAAAAATGGTGAAATATGAGTACGTGGAGGCACGTGGAAACAAAATCTACAACAGGCATTTTGAACTCGTTGTATCAGTTGACGAGTCCTGGAAAGTAGACGAGGGCCAATCACTACATCAGCGTAGTTGAACCTCGAGAGAATTATTGATTCACAAAGTGTTACACGAGCCCTCTCGCTGAGGAAGTTGCGAACCCTGTAGAGTACCCTTAACCGGTACATGCAACTCTTGACCACACTTAAAACGTGGGCTTCAAAGCGCAGTCGGGAATCAAAGAGCACCCCGAGGTTCCGCGCCTCCTGAACCATTTGTACGCTTTGGTTTCCAAGAGACACAGAAGGACCGGAGCGGATGATTCCAGTAACCTGTGAGTCAGACCCGACCACCATGAATTTAGACTTTGAGGGGTTTAGAAGGAGCCCATTGTCATCTGACCATTTTGCAATCCTCTGTAAGTCCTCGTTTAACTTCAAAATAGCCTCCCGGGTCGAGTGTGGATGTGTATATATATACAATTGCACGTCGTCTGCGTAGCAATGATAGTTGCAGTACTTGATCACTTCAACCATATCCGCTGTATAGATTATAAATAGCAAAGGTCCAAGAATTGAGCCCTGAGGAACACCTTGCCTAATTTCCCTAGGGTTTGATATCCGTGAAGAACAGCTGCCAGGAAGTCCGTCGAGTTTAACTGATTGGTAACGCTGAAATAGGTAGCTTCCGAACCATCTCAACGAAAGGCTATCCAAACCATAGTACTCAAGCTTGGCCAAGAGAAGATCCAGATTGATACTGTCAAAGGCACGAGAGTAATCGAGGAACGTGAGAACGGTGCCAAGACCAGCATCCTGTTGTATTATCAACCACGTCAATCAAAGCGGAAGACGTACCATGATTCCTACGAAAACCCGACTGCAATGCAGGAAGAATTCCATTACTTTCGAGAAATTTGTTCAACTGAGAGTACACCGCTTTTTCTAGGATTTGCGACAGGAATGGCAGAATGCTAATTGACCTCAGGTCCCCTAGCCCCGACGGATGAGCAACTTTAGGAATCGGCGTCACTAAGGCATGCTTCCATCCGGTAGGAAAGGTGCCAGAAGTAAGAGACAGATTAATGATGGCTGTAATGACACTTAGAGTGCATGGCAAGGTTAAAAGAATCATGTCTCTACTCAAACCATCGATACCACAAGCATTAGACTTGCAGGAGAGAATGAGCTTTGCCACCTCACCTTCGGTCACCGGACTCAAACCAAACACGGATCCATTGTAACGAGAGGACCCAAAAGAACGAATATAAGACGAAGACACGTCGCTGTTACCCAAGAAATCCAAAAAGTGGGAGTTAATTGCATTTGGATTACTGAAAGAGCCAGGAAGACCATGATTATGGCAGGGGTCAGCAAAAATCTTTTCCCTTACTTGTTTCCAGAAAGTCTTACTATTACAAGCCTGAGTATTCACGAAATGTTCAAAGTAAGCACGTTTATCTGACGCTAAACTTACTTCCACCAGTCTCTTCAAACTCTTCCATGCCATTTTATCCTCATCACACTTAGTTAATCGGTATTTCTTGAGGGCACGATTACGCAAATCCAACCAATCCGACTTGATTGGCAGGTGTAACTGTAGGTCTCTATGTTAAATAAAAGTCGTTGTGTCGTAACGATCGTTTATTGAGAACTGAACAAGATATACACCGCGCTTGCGCATGGATAAATTCACCTACCTACATTATATTAATAATATACAACACCTCCGTCTTTATTTAATAACTTAAAACAAAATACACAAATTATAAATTATAGCCTAACTTAGTACTAGTTGTCGACACGATCAAGATCGTTCTTTTATTTATTTACGAGTAGATATCATATAATAAATAGAAGAACCGTGTGATTTTATATAATTTTAATTTTCAATAATAAGACGATACCTCATGATGACAATTACTTATTACTCAGCTTATCTGATAAACAGATTGAAGATTGAGATTACCTAAGCACTTAATCAATTTTATATCTGTTAATCTATAAACAAGTAACAATCCAGAAATATTTTATATCTTTTATATGTACACCATACAATTCCTTCTCCAAAAAAAAATTAAGTGCTTTTATGAGATATAAAGTCAAAGTCCAATCCATATCTTTTCACATGTATACGGTTTCTCAATGGAAATTTACGATGGTTGGGCGATCTGTGACTACTAATTTCTTCACTGTTGACAGTGACACTGGGACTTGATGTAGATGCTGCGGATGGTATCGGTGAGCCGGGTTGTTTGATGCTACCGTCAACCTTATCCTTAATTTCTTGGGGTGCAGAATTGGAACTATGATCCGCTTGCATTAATTCGGTTCCAGATTCTTTGTTTTTATTAGGGGATAAAGGAAATACTAATGAAGGTCGCAATCGCTTATGGGTGGTTACTGGTGTCGATATTGTTGAGTCTAGTAA